TTTAAAAGTATTTTAATCGGAAACACAGCTGGTAATATTTGGTTTTAATTCGGCTTTTATCGGGGTTTATTTTTTGTATTTCTGTATTTTTGTATTTTGTATTTTTTGTATTTTGTGTATACTATTTGTTTTTAATATGCTGTGAACCGCCCTGAGTCCTATGGGAGAAGGGCGGTATACAAATTAAATTATCTATCTAAATTATCTATCTTATCTATCTATGTGGATTGAATCGAACACCCCAGCGGTTCCCAAAACACATAAACAGCACACCATTGGTCAAAAATGAACTGGATAAGGGGGAGAGGGCTGGGACAAGGGGGGGGGGGAAGTTTGCAACCTTTTGCGCAGGAACTTTAGTTCTCACCTGCTTTGCTGCAATCACTAATCTCTAGTAAAAAAAACTCATCACTTCCATCAAATGGAGCCGAGAGTCTTTCTTTCCTAGGGACCTAGCTGGGGCAAGGCTGACACGTACAGATTTAATTGTACAGATTTAGGCGAAAAGCCACGGATAATGAATGGCCCACCGACCGTATAGTAAGCCAAGTTGATTAAATCAGCGAATCGAAATTAGGTAACAAATTAAATTAGAAAGTGCATTCAAAGCACCGGACTGACTTAGAAGTCCATGAATTGATTCAGATAAGCTTTGCTGCGTTGCACATATTTATTCTGCTCAAACTGATAGGGCTATCGGAACTGGATCAAGGCTGAATTTCTAAATCAAGGCAAAAGTCCAGACCAAATATACATCGGTCCAGTGATTCAAGTCAACGTCAGCTCTGCTGTCATCCTGCCATCAACTGCTAGGGGAGAGGGGAAGGGGAACAGATGGGAAATAGACATGTATGGGGTATAGGTGGGGGGAAAGGAGGGAGGTTGATAGTTTGACGGAAACCAGAGATGCAAGAAAACCAGTCTGGGCCAGTCGTCAAGGCCATGAAGGCGAGAATGGAATGTGGATTGCTCCAAACATCCAAGCGGTTCTCAAAACATCTATGCAGCTCACCATTGGCCAAAGACAAACTGGTCATGGGAGGGGGAGGGCCGGGACAAAGGGGAAAGCTTTGTAAACTTTTGTGTGGGAACTTTAGATCTAGCCCTGCTTTTACTGCAGCCAGCAATCCTTAGTAAAAGAGTCTATCACAGTGATGGCGAACCTATGGCATGCGTACCAGAGGCGGCACTTAGAGCCCTCTCTGTGGGCACACTTGCCACTGCCGCCAGTTCACGCAGGTCCATTAGGCCACCGCTGGCACCCAGAGCAGCACCCAGAGCAGCAACCCCACCCAGCACAAAGGAGGTGAAGTAGCTGGCTAGCAAGCTTAAGTAGAGGTAGTAGAGCACGCTCCCATGCGTTCGCTGGCCTCTGTGTGCAGGGGCTGATGGTATCAGGCAGCAGCCACCCCTGTCTCGCCTTGCCCCACAGCAATGGCACCCCTGCCCTACCCCCTGCCTCACCCCGCAGGACGAGCCCCCTGCCCACCGCTCCATCCACCAGAGACCCCCTGGATCTCCCCCAATCCTGCCCAACCCCCACAGGCATCCTCCCATGAGCAACATCAAGGTGGCCATGCCCACCCCACCATGCCCACTCAGTCTGCCATGACCACCGCAGCCACACCCACCCAGTGGGCCACACACCCCACCCCCCGTGATGCGGCCTGGGCACTTTGTGATAAATAAGTGGGTTTTGGATTGCGGTTTGGGCACTCGGTCTCTAAAAGGTTCGCCATCACTGGTCTATCCCTTCAACCAAATGGAGTCGAGGGTCTTTCTTTCCTAGGGACCTTTCCTGGGGCAAGCCTGACATGTTTTTCCAAGGAGATGAACTTTCTGATGAAATTCTCCTGGGATAGGTCTGGTATGCTTACAATTGTGTCATGGTGCAGTGGCCAAGTGAGGCAGGAGTGGGTATCAATCTATCATGGTAGAGTCCTCTCTCTAACAGCAAGCCGCCATCTTCATTAAAGTTAAGCTGCTTATTAAAACTTAAAGTGTTACTTAAAGCCGCCATGAATCTTGGTTCAGACTGTCCGAGAAGCCAGAAATAGTTAGGCTGATGAAAGTGGCCTGGGAATCATTTTCAAAGACGGCTAAGCCTTAACACTGACAGCCATCAAACGGAGCGAAGTTCAACAAAAATTGCTTTAAGCAAATTTCAATCATATTGAAAACAAGCTTAAAAAAACCAGTTAGAAAATTGGGGGAAACTGATTTTAGCCAGCTTAGAAAGATGCAGTTTTAAATGTAGTAAAAAAAAAATCCAACAACTTAAAAATAGTTAGAAAAGCAGCATAGAGAGGCAATTTCTTTTTCTCAGTGGCCACCAATTTTGTTTTCCTACAGATAGGGCAGAGTTCCCCAACCATTCCAGCTTTGGATACCGGCATGTGGGGGGGGGGGGAGAAAGGGGATGGTTTCATGTGAGCGGCGGGCAACTCAGCACGCCTGCAGCTCCATTTGTACGAGCGGCGGGCATGCGCAAATGGAGCACGCGCACGTGCTTGTCTGTTGCCCATGCAAGTGAGGATGTGCATGCATGTGCTTTTGCATGCCATTTTGGGTGGCCCAGTTCTCAAGAGCTCACAGCCCAGGGGTTGGGGACCCAGAGGTTGGGGACCCGTGAAATAGGGTTACCATTCTGGGACTGTAAAATTTGGATGGATCACCACGGGGCAGCAATGGGATACCAAACACTTGCTGCCATGGTGAGGTCATCTAGATACAGGCTTTTCAACCAGTGGTACGGGTACCCCCTGTGGTACACTGGCACCTGGCAGGTGGTACGCGACCATCCTAGAAAAGTGGGAGCGGGGGAGGGGAATGAGCTGAACCGGTGGCAGCACCGCACAAGCCTGAGCGAGAGACGGCTGGAGCTGCAGGGCTGTCAGGGATCAGCGGAAGCGTCAGGATCCACGATAGGCTCCAGCTGGAGCTCGGTGCTGATCCTGGTGCTTCTGTTGAGCCCAGAAGAAGCACCGATCAGCTGGAATGTTGCAGCATCTCCACAGTCTTGTGATTTACATTCAGATGCTTGGCAACTGATTCATATTTATGACGGTCACAGTGTCCCAGGGTCATGTGAAGTGACCAAAACCTGCTGCAACCACCCAGTAGACAGGGGGAATAAAAGCCAAACACCCCCCACCCCACCCCCACTGCCAATCCTCAACAGAAATGCTCACAACAATGGAAACCTCGGACAGGAGGAAGAGCGCGGCCGGGCGGGCAGGCAGGTGTCTTTCTCGGCTGTGGCTTGGGGGGCACTTTTTTCAGTGCCATTGTAACTTCGAACAGTCACTAAGCGAACTGTTGTAAGTCGAGGACTACCTGTACTTTATCACCTTTTTCCTTTTTTTTTTTGATCATCAGGTTTTTGACACCTTGCTAGGCGACTGGTGATACTCGGATATGGTCATATCCTAAAAGTGGTACAATGGGTGAAAAGGTTGAAAAGCCCTGATTTAGATTTTTACAACCCAGAGCAGGTAGCTTTTGTGAACATCCCACTTTGGGTTGGTTCAAAGAGATAAGGAAAGGGAGCCACCTGGGTATCTGGTTAGCTTCATCCAA